AAAAAAAAAAAAACTCGTTCAATCTTCTTAAGCAGTCAGTTCAGTTATAAAAACACTGTCTCCAACAAGAACAATAACGCTACCACTGGTCAAAATATTCACGAAATTTTTGCCCAGCCTCCCCAACGAAACAAAAATCAAATTTTAGGGCCATACTTCGAAACCCCTCACTCACCTTCCCCTCCCCTCCCCCGCCCCTGCCTCTTCTGAAGCGGTACTTACGAACTTGACAAAAATAGGAACCACAAATAAACCTAAATAAAAATCAGTTCGCTTAGCTGCATATATTATATGCCTTTCATCATCATCATCCCCGCCCTACCAATTTTCTTCAGTTTCCTTCCTTCTCAATTACTAACCTCGTTAGCTTAGCAAAAATCCACCTTCACCCGCTGGATTTTTTCATTTTTTCACGTACACATAAAAATGTGACATAAAAATGTTTTTTTTTTTTTTCATTTATATAGAAATGTTTTTTGTCTCAAAAATAAAAGATACTCTAAATAACCTCACCCGCGAACCTATAAGCTTTACTCTTTTCTTGCCAATCCCGCTCACTCTGCACGAATTGAATGGTTTTCATAATTGTTCAACAATTCATTCAACTGTTTTTTAGCAAAAATATCGTCAAATTTTTCGGGATAATAATTCAAGTAACAGGCATCATCAAGTTGGAACAGTTCCGACAAACAACGAAATAGAACTGGCAGCATCACCGTAGGTAGGACAGCGTTTCACACACACACACACCCAACCCACTGTTCAGTACTCCACCTCCTCTTGATTGTTCATTCCGGCATGTTCGCCATTTTCGCCATCCAGGTACTCGCCCTCCTCATCTGCCGTCGCTTCCTGGTATTGCTGATACTCGGCCACCAAATCGTTCATGTTACTTTCCGCTTCTGTGAACTCCATCTCGTCCATTCCTTCACCCGTGTACCAGTGAAGGAAGGCCTTGCGCCGGAACATCGCTAAAAACAATACATCAGCACCCAATCAGTGACCGTAAAAACAAGGCATATACAGCCTGGAGCTGGAACAACAACAAAGCTGAACTGCGCCTACAGTAGCTTCGACATTCCTCATTAATAATTTCTCGTGCCAGTGTGTCAAACGCAAACGCACGTGAAGGCTGAATTTGAAACCTTAGACGGTGAGAATTGTTCCAAAATTTCAATCTCCTAAATCCTCTCGCTCCCGAGGAAATCTCGCAACAAAACTGGGATGAAGGATATCTGTAAAGCCCATAAATTTCAGTAAGAATCCAAGACGCTGATGCGACAAAAGGAGATTAATGCAGCCTCGGGCTTAAGAGACCAAGCTTAGTGCAGTCCCTTTGGAAATACGTAAAAAGTCAGAACAAGAGCAGAATTAGTTACAACTCATGGACTTTACCGTTAAACTGTTCGGCGATGCGCTTGAACAATTCCTGAATAGCTGTGGAGTTACCAATGAACGTGGCACTCATCTTTAGACCGCGTGGTGGGATATCACATACTGCTGTTTTAACATTATTTGGTATCCACTCCACAAAATAAGATGAATTTTTGTTCTGCATGTTCAAGATCTCGTTGTCCACATCCTGCAATCCATCTTATAATCAATCCATGGCAATTATTTATAGTTAATCGAACATCTGCTTTAAAATTGCTACAAATAACCAAAAAAAAAAAAAAAACCCCGAAAAACGGTATTTAATTTTAGTCCTAATAAACAGTGTACTTAGAGCATAAAAAAT